TGGACTGGCCCAGTTTTGGTTGTGTGTAGAGACAACTCCTGGAGAAGGAAATGGCAACCCACTCCAGTATTCTTGCCTGGGAAATCCCATGGACAGAAGAACCTGGCAGGTACAGTCTATGGGGTTACAAAGAGTCGGACACGACTTAGTTACTAAACCACCACCACCAGACCACTCCACTTGAACTGGTCTTCAACAATAAAGACAATTTACTGGCTCACATAACTGAAAAATACACAGAGAAGATGAATTCTGGGCATAGTATGTTTAGGACTCTGGATCTGTTTCTTTGCAATTCTCTTGGTTCTGTCTCCTCCAAGTGTTAGTTTTTGTCTTTGGACTGGTTTGCCATATATGGTAGCAAAATGGCTTGCAGCAGCCACAAAGCTACATACTTGCTTTTCCACAGTCATTAAACAACCTCCCTGAGCCTGGCTCTGAGTGGGATCTTCTTGGGTCACATACTTACCCTTGAACCTGTCACGATGGCAACAGGGACCATCTTCAGGGAGAGGGTTGAACCCTCTCCTCCACCTCCCTTGCCTCTACTTTGGTTCCCAGGTCCGAGTGGATTCTTCTGCAGGGCTGTGCAGAGATGTTGAGGCCGGTATCAAAGCTGACAGGGGGACAAAATAGATATCCTTATAGCCATATTGTGTTGTCCACATGGTCCTGCATAGAAGCTGCCACTTCTAGAACAGAATGGCAAGAACAGGCCTTGGCATCTTGCCAAGGACTGGCATGTGGGCTGCACACGTCACAGCAGTCTTTGTGGCACTGGATGTTCTACACAGAATGGAAACATTCTCTCCCGTTAGGAACATCATAGAGCCATTTAAGGCGGAGCTGTGATAAATGCAAAGTGACGTACAGAAGATACGTGCTGTGGGCGAACTTGCTGGAACCTTTTCAAGTGGGTAGAATTTTATTCCAAGCTCATCTGTGTATGCCTTTTCCCCTCCTTCAGTGAAATGCCCTTTCCTACCATGAAGGGAAAGATCCTTTTCAACTCTTTTTCCCATGTTGTTTTTCCACTGGAGACCTAAGCTACCACCGTTGCCACCCCCATGCTCATCCCAAGGGGCTGATTCTTTTTTGTTCCTTGGGTTTGAGGGAGGACTCTTCCCTAGTACTCCAGTGATTAGTTGAAATATACTGGAATCCTGAACCAACTTGAGTGAGGGCCTGGGAAAGCAGAAGGGAATTATTTACAAAGAGGAGCCTAAAGCCAAGGATTAGATGAGACTTTTCTTGCCTTGGTCTTTCTCTGTGGGTCTCTTCCCTGCAGACTTCCTCGTTCAGTGACTGCCGCCCCCTCGTGGCGAATATTCTGTTTGCCCTGGAGTGCATACTGACTTGCACAGTCCAGACCCCAGTCTGTTTTCTCCCTTGTTCCCTATTTTCTGCCCCAGGAGCTACTTTTTCCCTAGATGATTAATAGGAGACATGTCTGCTCTCTCCAGGGACTACCCCCTCTTCAAGTCCTTTCTAGTCTAGGCATCAGGTCGCAATGGTCAACACCTGTAAAAGCAAAGCATGGGTAGCCCCAGGGCAATTGTCCCCTTACACTTCCTGCTATTACTTATAAACGATAAGAGGAGGAGAGCATGACTTAGTTTAAGAAATATGCTTGCCAGGGGCAGAATTGTAGGCACCAGTGCCATGCTACATTCAGCATGCATGGTAGAGGCAGAACACAGATTAACACCAGCCCTAAACAGTAGCAGATAGTTTGGAAAGGACAGACAGTCCAGCTCAGCTATATGGAAGTGCAGCTTTCAGGCACAGCTTCCATAGACTCTCTTCCTTAAAGTGATAGACACCCTGAATCGCAGGAAGGGGGTGGGGGAGGATCCACGACACATCAATCCAAGGAGATATGACTAATGTTGTTTACCCTATAACCACTGAGTGAGCACTTGCTCTGTATCCTGGCAGAGGCTCTGAGGGTGAATTGGATTGGTGTCTAGCAGCCCACGGTCTAGTGGGGCAGACTGACTTGTAAATGCATCATTACAGGACAATAGGGTTCCTGTTATAAGGAAGAAGTGATTGAAGTGCCAGAGGTAAAGCCAAGGGACAGACATTAGTTGTTGGGGGCAGCTGAGGCAGGTTCCCAGAGATGCCATCCGTCAAAACTGAGAGCTGGGAGAATGACATTACCACCACTGCCTCCATTCACCACCAGCGGCCCCAGCTCTGCTGGTCTCCCTGTGGTCCAGCCAGACTCCAGGAGTGGCCCCCAGAATCAGGGCCATTCTAATTAACCAGTTCTTCATTGGTGGTGGAGGAGGATTAGTTCTTCCTCTGAAGCTCCATCAACATCTCCATCCCAAAGAAATCTAGAGTTTAAGTAAACACTGTGTGTTTGCTGTCCAAACACAACTCAGTCTTCTACCTCCTTCCCACTGGGTTGTCCTCTAGCTGTCAACCCTACCCCGCTGGTGGAGGGCTCCTACAAGGCCCTCCTACTGTGGACTGCTAGAGTCTGTACTATATAAAGTCAAATTCTTTCCCCTTTATTCAGGTCAGGCAAGTTGGAAGCTTTCAAATGGAAATAAAAGCAAAAAAAGGAAGAGAATGACAATAGCCATCCACAGAGTGGAGATTTCAGATAATGGATCCTTAACTCCATCTTCACCCCGGGTTCCACTGCTTGGACACAGGGACCCTGGGAGTCTCTGATACCCCGTGACCCCCTGACTTAACCTGTTCTCCAAATATAGACATGGGCAAGGCCCAGGGAGGAGCTGTGCTGTGACGAGGCTTCCCTATTCTTTATTCATCAAGTTTCCTCTCAGTGTTAAGGCACTCTGGTCTCTGAGTTCCAGGTTCTTACGGCTGGACATACATACTCAGGTAGGAAGCCACCTCTGATTGCCAGGACTTTTTCTGGGGCAGGGTGACTTAGTTTGACTATATTTCAGAAAATGCATCTGGTTGTCTGGGACCTGTGATTTGTACTCCATTGACTCCCTGCCTCCTTCCTCATGACCATGTATTCGGTTCTGTTTTTATACCTGGCTACAGATGGTGACCAGGGGGCCACAGTCTTCTCACCTTCACCTTTCATCCCTCTCCTCCCCTTTTAAAAATATTTATTTATTAAAAAATTTTTTTTTGGCTGCGCTGGTCTTTGTTGCTGCACGGGGCCTTTCTCTAGTTGCAGAGAGTGGGGGCTACTCTCTAGTTGAGGTGCACGGGCTCGAGGCACATAGGCTTCAGTAGTTGTGGAACAGGGACTTAGTAGTTGCAGGTTGCAGGCTCTAGAGCGCGGGCTCAGTAGTAGTTGTGGCTCATGGGCCTAATTGCTCCATGGTATGTGGGATCTTCCCAGAGCAGGGATCAAGCCTGTGTCTCCTACATTGGCAGACAGATTCTTAACCACTGTGCCACCAGGGAAGTTCCACGTCTCTCTTTTTTTAGGGAAGAGGATGACTTTCTCTGATCTGACGTTTATTGCTTTGCCCTGAGGCTTAGTCTTTTGTGACAATGCAGTCCTGGCAGAGAGATTAAAATGTATGGGTTTGAATGAACTCATAGAACCTCAGATTTGGAAGCATCTCAGGTGTTATTTATTTTGCCTCCCTCAATTTGGATGAGGAAATGGAAATCTGGAGAGGTAAAAGGACTCACTCAAGGTCACATAGCTTATTAATGACAGAATCAGGAGAGAATGAGCACTGGATACCAGATATCCTTATTTCCAGTCTTGGTAACCGTTTGTAGGTTTTCAGATTGTTCTCTGAAGAGCCCTGGAGGTTTTGCGGGAACCTCCTCTGTAGTGACTACTTAGATGGAGAGAGGGGCACACCCACCCTCCTTAGCAGAAGAGGTTTTTGTCTGTTTCATGCCTGTTTCTTCTGGTAAGATTTTGCTTCAATAAATGTTTAACAACCTTAAAAGTTATTTGACAAGTGCTGAACGATTCTGTGGATATTTAAGTGGTGACCACAATGGGGGTTTCTCTTAAATGCTTACACTTTCTTTAGACAGAGGACCCAAACATTTATTGCTCCTTTAGAGAAAAGGCTTAAAATACACTTTTTTTTTTGGCCATGCTGCACGGCATGTGTTATCTCAGTTCCCCAACCAGGGACTGAACCTGTGCCCCCTGCAGTGGAGGCGGGAGTCTTAACCACTGGACCATCAGAGAAGCCCCTTGACATACATTTTAATGCAATTTATTACTATTATTTTCTTCCCTCAGTGGATTTTAAGAAGGTTAAATAAGAATCGGTAAGGGAATTCCCTAGTAGTCCAGTGGTTAGGATTCAGCACTTTGACTGCCGGGGCCTTGCAGGCTGCATAACACAGCGAAAAACAAACAAACAAACAAAACACCAGGAAGACCATGGAGGGGAAATAGCATAGGAAGGGGCATCTGAGAGCAGGTTTTGTCTTTGCCACCCCGTGGACAGTGGCCCACCAGGCTCCATGGAATTCTCCAGGCAAGAATACTGGAGTGGGTTGTCATTTCCTTCTCTAGGGCATCTTCCCAGTTCAGGGATCAGACCCACGTCTGCTGCATCAGTAGGCCGTTTCTTTACCACTGAGCCACCTGGGAAGCCCTAGAGCAGGTTTGCTTCCTTCCATTTTGCCTGATGCTGGCTCTTCCCTGAATGTGTAGAACAACTTCGTCCTCCCATCTGAATGCCTAGACATGGCTGAGGATGGAGAAAGTCAAAGAGAGCACAGAGGCAGTATTATAGGTAGAGCTGATGCCACTATGGGGCCAGCCAACAGCAGATGCTTCTCCCTGTGTGTATGTTCATCTTATCCCACATTTAGGCCTAGGGGTTCTGGAAAGCTGACAACACGATGAAGCTGATCCTTAAAGCAGCCCATGACAGAGATGAAGGAAGGGATCTTCAGTTACCAAGCTAGCAGATAAGCAGAAGATAACCTAGTAACGGTTATCACATCCTTGATGAGAGTGACTTGGATCTGAGTTACTAAATCACCTTTCTTTCCTTCTAGTCTTTCAACCAGATCACACCATGACAATCATCCTGAACGATTTCTATAATATCAGTTATTTGTGGGAGGAGTTTGAGGATGAGTTTGGAAATTACACCGGCATGCCACCCACAGAAGATTATGATTATCTCTGTGAGGTAAGCACTGAGACACTCAACAAGCATGCTGTGGTCGTCATCTATGTCCTGGTCTTCCTGCTAAGCCTCCTGGGAAACTCCCTGGTGATGCTGGTCATCTTATACAGCCGGGTCGGTCGCTCTGTCACTGATGTCTACCTGCTGAACCTGGCCATGGCTGACCTGCTCTTCGCCATGACCTTGCCTATGTGGGCCGCCTCCAAGGCAAAGGGCTGGATCTTCGGCACAGCCCTGTGCAAGGTGGTCTCACTCCTGAAGGAAGTCAACTTCTACAGTGGTATTCTACTGCTGGCCTGCATCAGCATGGACCGCTACCTGGCCATTGTCCATGCCACACGCATGCTGACTCAGAAGCGCCACTGGGTCAAGTTCATATGTTTAGGCATCTGGGCCCTGTCCGTGATCCTGGCCCTGCCCATCTCCATCTTCCGTGAGGCCTATCAACCACCCTCCTCCGACCTAGTCTGCTACGAGGACCTGGGTGTCAATACAACGAAATGGCGGATGATAATGCGTGTCCTGCCCCAGACCTTTGGCTTCCTCCTGCCCCTGCTGGTCATGCTGTTCTGCTACGGACTCACCCTGCGCACGCTCTTTTCAGCCCAAATGGGGCAGAAGCACCGGGCCATGCGGGTCATCTTTGCAGTCGTGCTCGTCTTCCTGCTCTGCTGGCTGCCCTACAACCTGGTCCTGGTCATGGACACCCTCATGAGGCTCCATGTGATCCCCGAGACCTGTCAGCGCCGCAACGACATTGGCCGGGCCCTGGACGCCACCGAGATCCTGGGCTTCCTGCACAGCTGCCTCAACCCTCTCATCTACGTCTTCATTGGCCAGAAGTTTCGCCACGGACTCCTCAAGATCATGGCCATCCATGGCCTGATCAGCAAGGAGTTCTTGGCCAAGGACGGCAGGCCTTCCTTTGTTGGCTCTTCTTCAGGGAACACGTCTACTACCCTCTGAGACCCCTCAGCGGGCTCCTCGCTTCCCCTCAGCATCATCCCAAGCCCCATGTCCTCTGGCCAGGCACAGTCCCGTGTCAAGGCAGCTCCCCACCGTGGCTGTAGGAAGTTGCTGAGGCCGCGTCCCTCTTAGGCCCCCATCACATGGATTAGACAGCCTGTCCTGGGCCCCACCTCTTGCTGTAATTGCCATGTCAACTGATAGAGCTTGGTGCATCCTACCACTGAGCCCACAGTGCTCTATCTTCTGGCAGACATCCTTTGAAGATATTCTTTTCAGTGATTACAAAAGGTTCCACTATTGGGAACCATTAATGTAAAACACCATTGGTTACTTGCCTAGCTCTCCCTTTCCTTGTTGGCCAGCAAAGTCCCCTTCCCTTGAGAGAGGCTGAAAATGACAGACACTCTCTTTCCAAGATTCCCTTAAGATAAGAGTGGCCATATCATCTTGTTCTGATTTGTAAAACTTAAAAACAATGATGTGCTGGTAAATCACTCTCCTGGTTGGGGGGTGGGGGGAGGGAAGTTCTGATTTGTAGCATTTGCTGTTATGTGGTATAAATAAATGCTACCATCATGGCCAATTTCAAGGATGGTGGTGTTTAACAACAAGCTCACAAAATCTAAAAAATGTGATAATGTGCTTTCACAAGCTTGTGCAAACTGGCTTCAGCACACTGTTGCTTAAGAGGAAGTCTAATGGGGCCAGGGGACTCCTGGGAAATATTCTTAATTTAAGACACACACACACACACACACACACACACACACACATCCTTGGTTCTTGACTTTGACTATGGTTATAGGATATGATGTGTGGAGCTGAAGCAGCCACTTTGTGACAATGAGGGGAAAAGCCTTAGGAGCCAAAGGATAACAAGGACTTAAGAATAAAGAGTCCAGAATAAACCTAAGAATAAATGGTCAAATGAGTTTCAACAAGGGTGCCAAGACTATTTAAGGGGTAAAGGATAGTCTTTCAACAAATTGTGCTGGGAAAATTAGATATCCACATACAGAAGAATAAATCTGGGCCTCTACCTTACATCATATACAAAAATTAATTTAGGATGGATCAAAGACCTACAATTAGAGCTAAAACTATAAAACTCCTAGGGAAAAAATTTAAGGAAAAAGCATAATTTGGTCTGAGGTTGGGTATGGAGTGAGGCTCAGAGATGGGATTTAGATCAAGGTTGAGATTGGGATCAGGGGTTGAGGGTGGAGTGAGAGATGAAGTGTAGGGGAGCCAGGGATGGGACTGTAGTTTGTGATATGATCAGAGAAGAATGAGTGTCAGAAATAGGGAGAGATCCACAAATAGACTGAGGCTGGGGATGGGGTGAGTTTCAGGGAGGTTGGAGATGGGGTTGGGACCAGGTGTGGAGTAAATGTTGGGAATGGGATGAATGTGGGGGTGTGGGAGGGGTGTTAGAAACAGAGTGAATGTCAAGGATGAGTTAGTGGCTACAATAGTGGCCACTAGGATTTAATCTAGTGAGTGACTGCTGCAAAAGGCATCACCAGTAAGGTCACCATCCTCTCTGCAGTTTTGCCTATGATGCTCTCTCAGGGGCCAAAATGGAGACACCTTGGCCTGTCCAGCTTGAGACTCCAAAAGTACGTTGGTGAGGAAGGAGTTAGGGGCTCAGGCTCTGAGAAATGCCTCTGATTCAGGGGAGAGGATAGAAGAATGTAGAAAGAATCCAGGGAGGAAAGCAGGAAATGGGCCTGGAAACCTCCCTTTCCTCTCCCTCCCTCCTCTAGTCCTCTCTCTACCTCACCTACTGTGTAACTCCATGTTCACCTTCCTTCATCCTCTGCTGCCCTAAAGCCAACTCCATCAGGGGCTTCAGTAAGTAAATAAGGAAACATATTGGGTCTGGGGAAATATTCAGATGACTAATACATATTTGAAAAAATGCTGGCTCTCACTAGTAACCTGCAGAGTGGAAAGCAAAGAGCAAAAATAATTTGGAAGTGTTTCCAGGGCAAAGATTCAGTCTGAACTCTCTTCAAACAAGTACAACATCATTCAGTTAGACTTTTTAAAAAAAAAAAATACAGTGTGTAGTTCTCTGAGTATAGCTCAATGATTTGGATTTCAGATCTGTAAGAATACCAAGATGTTGGTACTTAAGTAACACAATGTATGAAAATATCAGAAACTGGTGTTCTAATCATTGGATAATGTAAGGATTAGCTATCTGGTCGAGGTTAGGGAAATGGAGAAGGAAATGGCAACCCACTCCAGTATTCTTGCCTGGAAAATCCCATGGATGGAAGAGCCTGGTAGGCTACAATCCATGGGGTTGCAAAGAGTCAGACATGACTGAGCAACTTCACTTTCACTTTCAAGGTTAGGGAGATGTTTACCTTGGGGAGGAGCTCAGCATCCAGAATGGAGCTGGCAACCAGGGTGGGCTGCATCTTAAGATCAAGGGAAGCAGGAAGAGGTCAGGGATGTGAGAGAGTCAGGGATGGAATTGACATTAGCGATGGGACAAACACCAAGGATTAGACGGGGGATAGAGATTGGGATGTGAATGTATATTTTGCACAATGCTTGCTGATGTTTAAAACTTTAAAATTACTTTTAATTTTTTTGGCTGCACTGTGTGACATGCAGGACCTTAGTTCCCTGACCAGGAATAGAACCCACTCTCCCTGTAGTAGTGGAAGCACAAAGTCTTACTGGACTTCCAGGGAAGTCCCAACGCTTGCTGATTTTAAATTTTGAAAATTTGTTCTGTGGGTTTAGTTAAAAGTTTTCAACCTTCAAATTACAATGTTGAATGATACTATTTTCCCCTACACTTCTGACCAACCACAGCCTCCTCACCAGCCCTTGTTTCCCTATCTAGTAGCCCATTCTTAGTGATTCTAGCAAAAATATTAATTGATAATCTGTATTTTATTCCATAGGGGTTTAAGATTGCTTCTTTTCCAGCAATTTGTGTTTTATAGGATCTTTCAGAGGCTGAGAAGTCTTATGGATAAAGATGAAATTAAATGACCAAATCCTCTTTGGTCTAAAGGTCTTCCCAGACATGACCGTTAATCAAGAAGTCATAAAGTGTACTGGTGTAATTTGGAGACATTGAAAGTTTGGTTCCAGACCACCACAATAAAGCAAAATCAGAAATGAAGTGGGTCATCTGCTTTTTTTTTTTTTTGGTTTTCCCGTGCATATAAAAGTTGTTTATACTGTAGTGTATCAGGTGTGCAATAGCATTATGTCTAAAAAGTGTACATACCTTAATTAAAAATACTTTATCGCAAAACAATGCTAACCATCATCTGAGTCTTCAGTGAGTCATAATCTTTTTGCAACAGTAACATTGAAGATCACTACTGAGCAAATACTGTTGGAAAAATGGCACCAATAGACTTGCTCCAGGTAAGAGTTGCCACCAGCCTTCAATTTGTAAAAAAACCCCACAGTATCTGCAAAGGACAACAAAGTGAAGTGCAATGAACTGAGAAGATACGCCTATACAGCTGTTGTGGTTTCCACGCAGAGATTGGAGGGGCCAAAGATCTCTGGGTTTGACCCAGAAACCTGCAAGTGGCTAATATCTGGGCTGGTTTTTCCATCCTGGTATTTTATTTATTTATTTTTGGCTGCATTGGGTCTTCATTGCTTTGCATGAGTTTTCATTGCAGTGAGTGGGGTCTACTCTTTGTTGTGGCTTCTCTTGTAGAGCTCAGGATCTAGGGGATGCAGGCTTCAGTAGTTGTGGTACATGGGCTTCAGTAGTTGTTGCTCTGAGGCATGTGGAATCTTCCAGGGCCAGGATTGGAACCTGTGCCCCCTGCATTTTCAGTCTGATTCTTATCCACTGAATCACCAGGGAAATTCTGGTTTTTGTTTTTAAACTCAAGATTCTTCCAACCTTGAGAGTAGAAATCAATTGAAAAATTAAAAAAAAAAAGCAGAATATGTTAATGCAAACTTTCTAAAATTAGTTTTTTTTTTAATCAAAATATTTCACTGACATTGTTTATAAAAGTGAAATAGCTTTACAAAGCTTATAATGAAAACCAACAGCAGCCCTCCTGTCCCACTTTCCACATCAAAGTCTGTGACTTTCAACTCACATAGCTGTTTCATTCAGTAGTGGTCTGTTGTTGTTGTTTAGTCATGAAGTCATGTCCAACTGTTTTGTGACCCCATGGACTGTAGCCTGCCAGGCTTCTCTGTCCATGGGATTTCCCAGGCAAGAATACTGGAGTGGGTTGCCATTTCCTTCTCCAGGGGATCTTCCAGACCCAGGAATCAAACCCATGTCTCCTGCACTGCAGGCATATTCTTTACTACTCAGCCACCAGGGAATCCTCAACAGTGGTCTACATATTTCTAAATATTATGCTTATTCTGCTAGCTCGTGAAAGTTTTTTTTCTGAGTTTTGGATATCATCTATTGACTTTCTATCTTGGCTTCTGAAGATTTAACACTCTTTCACATTTTCTCTTGCTTTTATTCCTGTCCCAGAAAATACAAATATTGCCTCTTCTGTTCTTCTAGGACATAGATCTGTACTTTTTGGTTAAATCAGCATTCAGTGTTTCAGTTAAAATGACTATATAAAAAATAATTCACAGTTGGGTACAATGTTTATACTTCCTTTTTTGGTACAAGTTTTCTTTTCTTTAGAATTAATGACAGAATTTTTCCACGTACTTTTCATTACATCACTCTCAAATGTCTCCCTCAATACACTCATATTATTTTTTTGTTTGTTTTCTTTCTTTCTTTCTTTCTTTTCCATTTATTTTTATTAGTTGGAGGCTAATTACTTTACATCATTGCAGTGGTTTTTGTCATACATTGAAATGCATTAGCCATGGATTTACATGTATTCCCCATCCCGGTCCCCCCTCGCACCTCCCTCTCCGCCCTATCCCTCTGGGTCTTCCCAGTGCACCAAGTCCGAGCACTTGTCTCATGCATCCAACCTGGGCTGGTGATCTGTTTCACCCTAGATAATATACAT